TTTGATTGCCACTTCTCCTTCTGTTGTTCAAAGGCACAGCTTTCATTTCAGGGTTTCAATGCCTTTGAGGGGTGTTTCTCATCCCAGCATGAAAATACCCCTCGGGAGAGGTGCCACGGCTGCCAGCAGGTCAGCCCCTCCTTCCCATTTAGACCTTGGCAGAAATGTGAAAGGCATTTCCAAGCCTGTGAGTGATTTGCTTTTATATGAGAGTCACATCCCTTCTGTGTGCTGAGATTTGTAGAGAACCAGGTGTTTCAGCCGAGTCCTACATCTTACGGTTTCAAAGCCTGCCAGGCCTCAGAACTTCCTTCCATACCCCTGACAAATGCACAGTGGTGTCTGGCAGGTAGCACGCAGCTGGGAACCTCTACCTCAAAATAACACAGCTTTTCAGTGTCCACTCACTTCTTAAGGGCCCCTTCTGTGTGCTGAGATTTGTAGAGAACCAGGTGTTTCAGCCGAGTCCTACATCTTACGGTTTCAAAGCCTGCCAGGCCTCAGAACTTCCTTCCATACCCCTGACAAATGCACAGTGGTGTCTGGCAGGTAGCACGCAGCTGGGAACCTCTACCTCAAAATAACACAGCTTTTCAGTGTCCACTCACTTCTTAAGGGCACAAGGGCACAACACATGCACACAACTTCCCCAGACAGACATTTGTCCACACAACAATTACACTAGCCCCATGGATTGACAGAAATGTACATGAACACACACACACACACACACACACACACACACACACAACCTCCCTACACAAATATGCACACAGAACGCTACACAACCGGACATATCTATACACCTGACCATTCAAAAACAACCCCCACACCTACCCAATGTTGTGCTACACAAATCCACACACACAACCTCTCTGTGCAGAGATGCACGTCCACACAAATCCACATACACATTACCCCATGCAGATACACACACCTGTCCTCCCGGACTCAGTTGTACAAATATATAAATACCACAACCTCATGTGCCCAAAGACACAAATGCACACACATGCTGACCCACAAACACCAACAGCCCTTACTTAGAAGGGATGGCACTCATTTTAATAAATGCCAACTGCTTAACATTCCTAAAAAGCAATCCTAGTCCAATGGATTTCACAGAATCATAGAAAAGAAGGGTTGGAAGGGACTTCAAGAGGTCATCCTGAGGCAGGTCCAAGTACACCCTAGACCATCTAGGACAGGAATTGCCCGACTTGTTCCTAAAAATATCTAGTGATGGGAAATTCACAACCTCCCATGGTGCCTATTTCAGTGCTTATAGTTAGAAAGTTTTTCATAATAGCTAACCTAAATCTCCCTTGCTGCAAAAATAAGCCTGGCTTCTCAACCTACTTTTAGTAGACATGGAGAACAACTGATCACAATCCTCTTTATACCAGCTCTTAACAAATCGGAAGACTATTATCAGGATCTCCCCTCAGTCTTCCTTTCTCAAGACTGAACATGCCCAGTTTCTTTCCCCAAACCTTTCCTCAGAGATCAGGCTTTCTAAATCTTCTAGAGCTGTGCTTCTTTTGGCTGTCTTTCTCCACTTTACTTTATCTAGAGCCACTGACGGGGGAGAGGAGGTAAAGAGGGTAATTGCCTTGCGTCCCAATGATACAAAAGGGCCTGAAATTCCCAGCCACAGCTGCTGTTGTGAGCGATGGCTGCCGGAGCCCTGGGCCATGTAAATCAATGCTCTGCCGTGTGCTCACGGTAGTGCTGAGGGTGGGTGGGGGCATGGTGCTGTCTAGAACTGTCTAGTTTCAGCCCCACCTTTTCTGATCGAAGCGCTGCCTCTTCCAGGGTGCGGAGGCTGCCCCAACCCCCTCCTTGCTCAGGGGCCTGGCGGGGGCTTGGCAGTGGTACTAGGGTTGCCAGGTTTTGAACCGGACAGTCCAGTATTTGAGCTTTCTGTTCAGGAAACAAATTGAGAAAATATAAAAGAGAAAATATAAATGTCCGGTATTTTCTAAATAAGATGTAATGTAGATTGTGATGTAATGTCAAGTGTGCCTGGTATTTTTGTTGAAACCATCTGGCAACCCTACCAGCCCAGCTGTCCATATATCTCTTAATATGTGGAACCCAGAACTGAAGACGGGCCTCACCAGTGCCAAGGAGAGCAGAATAACTGCCTCCCCTATCTTACATATGACGCTCTTTGTAAATACACCTTAGAAGGATATTGGCCTTTTTATCAACTGCATCACATCGCTGATTCATATTCAAGTTCTGGAATTCTTTTCAGCTGTACCCCCAGCGAGCCAGTTATTCCCCTTCTTCTAGTTGTACATTTAATTTTTACTTCCTAAGGGTAGGACTCTGCACCTGTCTTTCTTGTGTGTCATTTTGTGATTTCAGACCCATTTTCGAATTGGCCTAGGTTGTTTTGAATTCTCAGCCTGTCCTCCACAGGGCATGCCCTCCTAGCGTGGTGTTATCAGCAAATGTTATGAGCATACTCTCCACTCCATTAGCCAATCATTAATGAAAATATTGACTAACCCCAGAGCCCAGCCTGTGGGAACCCACTAGATCCATCCCTATTGGTCCTTGGAACCTGCTGGGGAGTGTAATGCTCCCATGATGATTCTAAAAGGCCTGGGGATCCAGCAGCCGCTGCTGCCACAGTAGGAGCCCTAAGCCCTTTAGAATTGCTGGGGCCCAGGACAATTGCCTTCTTTGCCCCTGCTTCTGTTGGGGGACTGTGTCAAAAGCCTATTACAATCACCATGCACTTGTCTGTATCTTCCCTCCATCCACCAGGCCAATAACCATTTCAAAGAAGGAAGTTAGGTTGGTCTGGCAGGATTTATTCTTGACAAATCCATGTTGGCTGTTCTTTATAAACCTATTGTCCTCTAGGTGCTTACAAACTGATTGCTTAGCAATTTGTTCCATTATCTTTCCAGATATCAAAGTTAGGTTGATTGGTCTTTAATTCCCTGGATCCTCTTTTTCCCCACATTTTAAAAATACGTGCTACCTTTGCCCTTCTCTAATCCTCTGGGTCCTTACCTGCTTTCCCTGAGTTCTCAAAGATAATCACTAATATCTAACTCCTAAAGGACCTTAAAGTGATTTTCACCAACATCTGGAAATACAAATATG